ATCTTTTAAACAGTCAAAGCATTCATGGTCTCTAGTCGAGCCACTTTATAGAATTCATTTGATCAAGGAGGACAATTGTTAGTTGTTACACCCTTTCAAATCTCACCTGCTTCACAAATCAAGACCTCTAGAGAAATTGTTCCATAGAAGAATAGATCTGGACATGAGACAAATATGACTCGAAGCCTTATACCTCTTCGGGAAATCGTAATCCCTTGACATAATTCTTAAAATGTTCCACATGATATGCTAGAGTTAAAATCAATTGACAAGACAACCACATCAATTGAGCCTACCTATCTTACCATCAGACGAGTAATCATCATGACCATACACTTAACACCAACACTAAAGTTCAACATAGAAAGCCTCATGACAAGTAGAAAGAGATCGGCTTTCTCTCCCCCTAATCATCATCTTTACGCTATTTCTTTACATTCTCTTTTATCACTTATATTATTGACAACTAGTCAATCTAACATCGCTCGTGACTTTCTATCCAAATGAGAAGAAATAAATTGTCTATCACTAACGTAATCAACTTGTTCCCATAACTGATATACAAATATAAAATTTTAAAATTATTAATTGATTTAAAAAAATTAATTCAACGATTATACATATTCCATTATAAAAACAAAAAAATTATTTTTTTAAATATTAAAAAGTTTAAATTCAATTTTATTTTAAAATTTGCCATAACTACAGTTTATATGTATATATAAATATTTTCAACCATAAATGAAATATTTTACTTGGTTTAATCGTGCTTATATAAGTATATTCCCAAAACACTAAGATTTTAGTCCCTCTTTGCCCATTCTTATTTATTTTATTTTTATATAATTAGATAATTACATGTATTACAATTTCATGAGAGGATGGAATCTATTAACTTATTTTTAATTAAAAATAGGATTAAATTAACATAATATTTAAATAATAAGAACTAAATACATTATTAGATAAATTTACTTTACATCAACAATTTAGTTAATTTAGGAACTAAGTATTTTATTTTCGTTGGTGTATTTGGTAGAAATATGAAAAATCGAAAGAAAAATATTTTTTTCATTTCTACTCGTTGCTTAGTAGGGTTGAAAATATGAGACAAAACTAAAGTTTTTTAAAAAAATATTTAGTTTTGAACAAAGTTGTATCTCTCACAATTTTTTCTCTTTTTTCCATTCAAATTTGAATAATTTATTTCCATACATGAGGATGAATAATTTATAAAGTTCGAATAACTAAAAAAATTAAAATTTAGCTAAGTAATTTGATAGTTTTACAATTGTGTCTCTCATTTCCTTATTTCTCCATTTCCTCATTCATTTTAAGTATATTTTTGATCAAATTTTAACCATATGCTCCTCAAATATCGTTGAATACTATGTACCTTCAACGTCTATTTTTTTATAGAAAATTTTATCTTTTTTTTTTAATTTAATCCCTTAATTTTGTATATTTTTTTCTTCAGTCACCGCATTTTAAGTCTATTTTTTAATCAAAATTGAACGACGTGCTCTACTACCACTATAAAATATCTAGTAACTTCAATTCTTATTTTTAACAAAAAACTCTTTTTAAATTTTAGTTATCTAACTTTTCATTTTATTCAATTTAATCTTTTGACTATAATTTTTTTGCAGATTCTTTCTTTCCATTAATTCATTGACTCTTTTATACTCTAATCAATATTTTATTCTCAAAATATCTTCTTTAAAAAATAATATTACAAATATATTTTATAATTTTAGATGATATTTAATTTGTTAAATAACATTACAATGTGAAAAAGAAAATGAAAAAATATATATATGTCTAACTTGTATGACTAGAGAAATTTGACAAATTAGGACCAATCTGTAGCATAATATTATAAAGGCATAATGTCAAAATTAACCTCTAATATTTACTAAAATAATTATTTTGGGTTGTATTCCTTTTTAGAGCATTTTGCCTCCCCTTTTTCATTTTAGGGTAAAAAACCCCTAATGTTTGACCAAGTAGTTACTTTGATCTTTATTCTTTTTTTATATTATTTTGACCCTCAACATTTTATTTTAGGAATAAAAAGCTCTTATTCGGAGTGTTAACAATTTGTTAACTAATGATTTTCATCCATTGAGGGGTCTTTCCCCCCCCCCAAAGTGAACCGTTGGAGTGAAATGTTTAAAAAATAAATAAATAGGGACCAAAATAACTATTTAGTTGAATATTTGGGGTCTTTTTTGACATTATGCTTATTATAAATAATTACAGTTAATTTGAACAAAAACTTGAACAAATTCATTTAAAATTTAAAATAAAATTTGAATATAAAGATAAGATTCATCGATTGAACTAACTCAATTTTTTTTATCTTGAATCCACTCGATTTAACATTCACCCTTAAGGGTGTGTTTGGTTGGGGGAATGTGAGATTCTCATGGGAATGAAATCCGCATTTCCCCGTTTGGTTGGCCATAAATGTCATTCCCGGGAATCTTACATTACCAATAGTGGATTTTTTAGGTTATATTACCAGGAATGTCATTACATCCATTTTCTTAGGTATTGTTGGATTATCGGTATTTTGGACTAAAATGCCCTTAATTTTTTCTTTCTTTCAAAAATATCATTATTCTGTCATTGAATAATAAAAATTCTATGAAGGTTAAATTACAAATTTATCCTTAAACTATTTTAGATTTACAAAAAAATTCTATAATTAAAATTTTATATGAAATTCAGGGGTTAAAATAAAATTTTACCCTTTCATTAAACCTTTTTATATTTTCAATTTTGAAAAAAAAATATAAATTATATAAATTTAATTTTTTAAAGAAAATATATAAATATTTTCTAACATGTTAAAAAAACAAATATATAAATAGTATTGTCAGTTTCCTCATCAAATTTCTTATTCAGCTATTGTACATTAGATTAGGTTTTAGTGACTGATCCATCTACTCTTGAATCCTGATAGTGACTGTGAATCCACAAAATTAGAAAATAAAACAAAAAGGTTAGGTACGTGATAGTAGTATTGATTATTGCCTTTATATTAAATCCGTATCTTACTATAAAAAAGAAGGAAAACTTGAAGTAAAAGACAGGTCCCCCATTGGAGTTAACTCAACCACAAACCCTTTCCTCTCTGCTGGAGCAATAATACATTTCTTTTCTTTTGTCATCTCCGTTTCCAAGATTTGGTTTCTTGTTCTTGTGTTTCTCAAATTTTGTAGCAATGACGCCGATGGGAATTCTCGGTATTCTGTTTCTGCTTCTTGCACTATACTGCGGGACCGACCCTTTTAAGCACAGTGCAATCTATGAGTTCCCTGACTTTGAGGCTTACAAGGTGGATATGCCTCCATGGGAACAGGTTCCAACTGTTAGGGACCAATATGATTTTCTTCAGAAATCAGAGATTAAGTTCTTGAATCAGGTTCAAGGCCCTGAGAGCATCGCATTTGACGCTCTGGGGCGCGGTCCTTACACTAGTGTTGCTGATGGTCGGATAGTCTTCTGGGATGGTGAGAAGTGGAACGATTTTGCTCATACTTCCACCAATAGGTGAATTTTCCAACTTGTTTCTAATGGAGTTTATGTTTCCTTTTTGTTGCAGAATTGGCTTATTTTACATAGTTTATCTTAGTTATTGGGGTTTTCTTGATAATTTATATTAGTTGTTGGGGTTTTCTTGGAAATTCTCTCCTATTTCAAGCAGTTTTTTCAGCACTTGCGGTCAAAATATTTTACCATTTTTAATTTTGAGCTCAGGTCAGGACTATGTGAGCCAAAGCCATCACCATTGAGTTACCTGCCAAATGAGCATATCTGCGGCCGACCTTTGGGACTCCGATTCGATAAGAAAACTGGTGATTTGTATATTGCCGATGCATATTTCGGGTTGATGAAGGTCGTTCCGGAAGGCGGATTAGCAACATCACTTGTAACCGAGGCAGATGGGGTGCCCCTCAGGTTTACCAATGACCTTGACATTGATGATGAAGGAAACATATATTTTACTGATAGCAGCACCAAATACCAAAGAAGGTAGGTTTCTGATGATAAGTTTTGAGACAAAAACTATTATTATATTATATCACATCACTATTTTCATTAAGTCAACAATCAAACAACTATTATACTGACACGTTAACATTTCAGGAACTTCATGCTGCTAATTTTTTCATGTGAGAATAGTGGGAGGCTTATCAAGTATAATCCACACACAAAGGAAACCACTATCCTTATGACAAATCTCCAATTTCCTAATGGTGTATCCTTAAGCAAAGATGGTTCTTTTCTTGTAGTTTGTGAAGGATGTTCTGGCAGGTGAGCTTTGCTTCTAAATTACTCTAAGACCAACTATTCCTATGTAATGGTTTGATATCTGTACAGATTACTCAAATACTGGTTGAAAGGTGAGAAATCAGGGACTTCAGAGGTATTTGCCATCTTACCAGGATTTCCCGACAACATCCGCACAAACGAAAACGGTGAATTTTGGGTCGCAATTCACTCTCGGAGGTCCATGTACTCTCATATATTAGGATTACACCCGCAACTTAGAACATTCATTCTCAAGCTCCCCATCTCAATAAAGGTTCAACGCCTGCTTCACCTGAGGGGTAAGCCGCTGGGACAAGCTGTGAAATACGGTCCGGATGGAAAGCTTTTACGAGTTCTAGAGGACAGCGAAGGGAAGGTCGTGAAAGCCGTTAGCGAAGTCGATGAGAGAGACGGAAAGCTGTGGCTAGGTAGTGTTCTAATGCCGTTTATTGCAGTTTATGATTTGGATTAGCTTTGGCATTCTGAATGTTGCTTTGTTTGTCATTGAAAAGTAGAAATGTTTCGACCGAGCAACTGTGGTATACATCTTGTAGGTGTGTACTTCTCATTGGTATGGTATTATAAATAAGTAGTATTGCCAAAAAAAAATTCTAATATAATTTTTTAAATTCATGTATGTCATAAAATCATGCGTTCGTACTTACTTTCAATAACGAATTGAGCTAAAGACACATTTTGTACCTCCTACATCCATCACCAAAACTTACAAGAAACAAGCTATAGTTTCTTCGTCTAAACTATTGTTTAAACATGGGGATCCAATTTGTGTTTTTCAGTCCAACAGCCTACAGTTATCAGAGAATGTTATAGTATTGCTTTCAAAAAGATTTAGTAAAGTTGTTGACACTGCCAAAGATTATGATTATTTGGAACCTAGACCATTCTAAGCGGGATAAATCGAGCAGTGTCAGGTGCGATCACATCCTTGATAATTTTAAATTTTAATATAGTTTAGGTATTTTTTGTATTTTTCGGGCATAATATCAAAATTAACCCCTAATGTTTACTAAAATGATCATTTTGGATCCTATTCTCTTTTTTTTTTTGAGATTTTGGTCCCCCAATATTTACTAAAATGGTCATTTTGGGTACTATTCTTTTTTAAAGCATTGTAATCCTCAACGTTTCATTTTAAGGCAAAAAAAACTCCAATGTTTGATCAAATAATCACTTTGACATTTATTCTTTTTTTCCCTAAATCATTTTGACCCTTGACCCTCTTTATGGTAAAAAACTCATAGTTTAGAGTTTTAACAGTTTGTTAACTAACAATTTTCATTTATGGAGGGACATTTTAGCCCTAAAATGAAACGTTTGGTTAAAATACTCTTAAAAAAGAATAGAAGTCAAAATGATTATTTAGTCAAACGTTAAAAAGATCTTTTTGACATTATGCCTATTTTTTTTTTGTATTGATAATCTAATTTTTTATCCTTAAATTTCTAATATAAATTCTTAAATTCGTATATCTTAATATAAAATCTTGTATACGGCTATGATTTTATGTATACTACTTTGCCTTGTTATTATATTCCTAAAAAAAAGAACCCAAAAAAGAATTACCATTTCCAGCACATCCATCACATGGGACAGGATCACCCCTGAAAACCCAACCAAATATAATCCATAAATTCCAAGTTTCCGACATATATAAACAAAGCGTAAAAAAATATGAAATTTTACCTTAGGCCAAGAAAGAGGGAGAGGGCAATGCCAGCCAAAACACTGATGGGAGCTAGGGGTATAAACGAGACGAGCTGAGTCAAGTTTGAGTATTGTTGAGTTCGATTCGATTTGGGAAATTCTAAAATTAAGTTCGTTTTGATTCGAAAACTCGTGAATTTAAAATTGTTGAGTTCGACTTGAACTCAAAATAAAAAATTTAAACTTGAATCAACTCGAAAACTTGTGAGCTTAAAATTTTTCAAGCTCCACTCGAAATTGAAAATTGAAACTGAACTTGAACTTAAACCTGAACTTGAACTTGAACCTGAACATTAAATACATGAAAGTCTTATATTGTATTTTTTAATATATGTATATATATATATGTTAATATTATAATAATTTAATTAAAAATCTCAAAATTTTAATATATTATTTTTTTTCAAGTTGCTCATGGGTTTTTCGAGTTAAGTATCAAGTAACTCGCTTTGACTTGTTAAAAACTTGAGTAGAGTTCGAGCTCAAGTTGAGTCCATTTGATTTGAGTGTTTATCAAACTTTAAATAAATCAATCTCGAATAACTCGTAATCTATTTGTCTCGTTTACTGCCACATTACCGCCTTACTGGTGGCAAGAAAAGTTTGGGTATCTAAGGGCTTATGAAAGCCGGTGAACAACACAAGAGGGTGAAGAATCAGCCCAATTGTGGGTTGATATAAGCTTCCTCCGTTTAAAATTGTGAGAACAGTAGTGTGGGAATTTTGTACTTTGTTAGGGACAAGGATTGACAACAGGTGAAAAAATCGTCTCTTAAAATTTTAAAATTCTCTTATATTTTAAATGTTTTATATATTTTAAAATTTTACAAGTTGGCAATCTGTCTCATTATTTGTCCTTCATTGCCACATTTATTTACTTTGCTTATCATCTCTCTTCAATTACCAAGTTTTGTAGGTATTAGTTTTTTATGTTCGAAATAGTTGCCTAGTGATTTTCTTTTCCGGGAAAATCTGGGGTTCCTGAGAGGTTTAACATACATTTAGTAGTGCATGTGGAATAATTGCCTAGTTATTATTAGTACAATAAAAGTACAAATATTTTAGAACTTGAGATCTGTCCGTATGAAAATAAGCAAACATTCCACTACATCGTACGTCGACAGTCATCCACACATGTACTTGATAGCTTAGATATCGGAAACCGAAGATCCAGAAGTGCCGAAACCGATTTTGAAATCAAAGGAAATGCAGGTTAACTGTGGGATTCCATCGCCTGATATTGTCATCTTAAGTGTGTAGGAACCCTGCAAAAGCCATACAAAGTAAATGAGTCCTGAAAAATCCAAATTAAGAGTTCTAGAGTTTGAAACCGGTGCATGGGATTTCGCTTTCCATTTGTACTCCCCACTCTAGAAAGAGCAAATCTAGGTTCTGATCTCTACAGATAGTTAAGAACCATGTTGGTTTAAATATGCAACCAAATGGTGCATCAACACTTTCAGGGCACATGAAAATATATGAAGAAACAAGCGAAATGCAGGAAAAATAAATATGTGCAAAGACAGATAAATTGAAACTTTGAAAGCACGTCAGGCATGGATGTGTTTCAGATCAGCAGTGGGATGCTGAAGGGCACAATGTGAGTTCAGATCAAATTCCCCCCTCCCCAAAAAAAAGGAAAAAAGGCCTCGGGAAACATGATGTTGTCGCTCAAAGGTCTCTAAGATAATCATCGACATGAGACGTCCACATCAAACAGGAAAGGATTAAAATACAAACCCGGTAGCACAATCTGAAATAGAAACAAGCTACTATTTCTTCTATTTCTTACTTGAAGGAGAAAAGAAAATCGGTATGATCATATAGATATATGAATGTATCTGGTTCGAAATTAACCATAGAAATGGAATTAAATGACGCAACCATCCATTTGATGACAACATCTAAATGGTTAGGAATTGACGAAGGAACTCACATAAATGTCAAACAAAGGTGTCTATGAGATTTCTTATAGTGTCTGCATGAGACTTGAGGACAATGAGTCGTTAATAAATATCTTTGAGACCACTTTGTATTATGCCTTAAACATCCAAGAAGAACCAAACTAAGATACACTTTCACTTCTTTTTCTATTTCGAACAACAAAAAGAAACGCGACTGTTTCATTTTATAAAAGATAACAAAAATGCTGATATAAAGATTCAAGTGGGACCTTACAAAGTGAGATACTAGATCAATCATGAAGCACTGCAACCAAGCAATGCTTTATTTAACTGAATATGTCAGACGATAGGCTAATTAAACATTTCAATGTTCAAGTCAATTTATAAGGGCACCTCACAGGTAGTATAATCCTATAAATATTCTCAAAATAAAAAAAGTTAACGCTATTAGTGAAACTTACTGGTGGAGTAAATCCAGGTAGAACTTGATTGTGAGAGAGTACAAAGTTGCCGACAGAAACAGGACAGGTTGTTTCCTGACAAAGAGAATGAGTTTCTTGATGGATATGTACCCCAAAGTAGGAAACATCAATCACCGCTTTGCCTCCAGATATTGCTTGACCTACAAAATAATACACACTCATGAAATGCCACAATAGGCTCTGTGAACCATGGACATAAAAACATGGAGCAATTTTTAGATACATATACAGATGTGGTACTGTATAAATAAAGGCATTCGATGACATGGACCAAGAAGTTCCAGGACGTCAAGAATTCATGTCTAAGCTATTAAATCCGAAATATATTTTTTATTCAAAAAGAAAAAGATTTAGAAGAAATGGTTTTGCCATCAAAACACAGCACCAGTCTAGCAATCTGGATTTAACTTTGTAACCAACAGCATATCCACCAAGATTTGAAATATATTTGCCTAAGAAATCAGATACCGATGTAAGGTTCTAAATCAAAAGGAACACTGAGAAGAATTAGCTTTCATGATACGGGTCTAGGGTTATGCTGGTTGTAACATCCCAAAAGCCGGGTCAGTGACTAAAATGTAAAATTTGGAAACTTTGTTCTCAATTCCGAAATAAGCTAAAAGTTCAGGGACTTAAGTAAAGGATTTTGGATTAAATAGTAAAGATGGATTAACTAAAGGGGTAAAATGGTCTTTTCGTAGGAAAGATTTTTATCCTCCCTTTTTGAGTAATATAAAAGGGTAAAGATCTTCATGCCTGGGAGAGCAAGGCAAAGGTGAGAGTTTTATTAGTTGATTATTATTTGAATTTTAAGTTTGGTTTTGATCTTTAGTTGATGGATAAACCTAAGTAAAGCTTGGGTTACGGTAAAATCAAAGAATGGAGGGGTTAAGAGAGATTAAAGATTTGGAGTTTATATATGAAATTTTGGAAAAGAATTGATAAGTAGAATTTGAAGTTAAATTTGACTTGTCAATAGTTAAATTAAGAGATTTGGAGTGATAGAAAGGAATTTAGAACATGTTGAAATTCGAGTATGATTATTGAATTTCAAAAGAGGAAAGGTTTTTGAGAATTAAGATGGGGTAAATGAGTACAAATGGGCTTAAGTATGTGTGTTTGAGTTTAGTATATAAAAGAGGTTGAAATAGGAAGTGTTTAAGTTGAAATGAAGTATTTTTCGTGCTGAAAATGTAATTCTGGGCTAGGGGAATCGGTACCCATTCAAGGGGAACCGATACCCCTTCAAGCGAATAAAAATTTCCAGAATGTCATGGGGGAACTGATACCCCCACAGGAGGGAACCGATTCCCCTAAAGGAAAATTGTAAATATTGGTTTAATAAGTTCGTTTAAGTTGCTAGTATCAAATTACAAGGTGTAGGTATCTTGATAATTGCCTTAAAATGTATAATTATGTAGATTCAGAGCCTAAACGAGTTCCGGAATCATTGACAAGTAAGATCGATAAAAAGGGAAGATAAGAGATTGGAATGGACTAGTGAGGTCAGGTGAGTGCATATTAGTAATATATGATGTTAAATGGAAAAAAGACTTGCGACAAGTCTATTTTCCATAGTAAAATGCATGAATTCATAAATAGAAGTATATATGTGTATGATTTATATGTGTTGACATGTTATTGTATATATGTATTATATGGTTGATGTGAATATGTGCTATGTTATGATGATATAAATCATATGATATGATAATAAATTATATGAATATAAAAGATAAGTTATGTGATAAGATCTTTGATATATGCATATATATATAAATGAAATATTACTACGTCAATACATGCTATGAGATAATTTAAGTAATAATATGAGAATATGGTAAAAGTGAGTTTATGAGAAAGGATATGAACTAAGTAAGCAAAAGTTACATAAATAATATATTAACTAGGAGACTTGAACTTCAGTGATACTATGAGCATATAAGATAAGATAGAGGAGAAAGATTCATATGCTTAAATAAAATTATGATACATTAATTGTATAATAGAAGCTATGGAGTGATATGAAATGATTATAACAGTTGTACGGAATTGAATTAAGTAAATAGATTAAATTGTATATAAAAGAAATAATAGAAGTAATATATTCAGGTTTATAAGTATAATGTAGGTTAGGTAATGCAAGTGCATACCAAGAAATACATAATAAGGTAGATGATATGATGTAAATTATATTATGAATTAGTGATATAGGAATGAGATATAAATATGCAATAAAACTTATGTGTTATATGATAAATATGAACATATGAGAATAAGAGATTAGATAAGTGACTTGGTGATAGAAGCTATATGACCATGGATTAGGTAAATATGAATAATTTAAGTGATATGTAACTATGAGTATTTGAGTATGTATCCATGTGAGGTGATTCATGAGGTTATATGAAATATTATACTATATGACTATGTGAGTATATAAAAAAGAATATAGGTACATTCAAGTTATATAGAAAGGAGTTGTGTAACCATGCCTGATATGTATTACATGTATGGGAATATAAGAGAATAAAACATAAACTATATAAAAAGATATGATTCATGTAATGTGAACCATGTGAACATATGAGAAAGTGTATAAGTTATAGGTACTACATGATATATGTGATTTTACAAGAAATGACATGAGCTATGTGATTACATGATTATAAGAGATCAGGCATGTGATAAAAGATAATTAATATGCATGTGTGAATATGAAATGATATAAATGACAATGTCCATGTTGTGTGTCATGAGAGCTAGGGGTATAGTTGGCATGCCAAAAGTCGAGGGTCTACGCGGTCTTTCGGTATATATATATATTCTTTGGAACATGTTTGAAGTCTTGTGAGACACATACTTGATCCCGAGTATATGTATATGATTCTTAAGGAATGATATGTGGTCCTTATGGACATTATTATATGGCACTACGGTGCAATTCTACGCGGCACTACGGTGCAATTCTACGTGGCACTTCGGTGCATTTATATGAGCTGTGGTGACAGCATTAGTGCACAACCTCCATAGACTCACATATCTATAGTTCTCACATATATACATGGGCTAATCAAGAGATATAAATAAATATATGTTAGTGATATGATAAATGTTATTGAAATGATATGACGTTGTGTGTATAGTGTTTGATTGAAAAGGTTAAGCATAAAAGTATGTGATTACATGATAAACTGCTAATGATGATTTATGTGTATGTATGTATTTATTGTTAATTAATCTGATATGATTGTACATGATACGAGGAAATCATGTAATTTGGTATAGCATGATAGAACATAGCATGCATGTATTGATATATGTTATAAAGTGCATTATAAGTTTTTATGCCTTACTAAGTCATTGATTTAGCGTGTGATTGTTTCACACGTAGGTTACAGAAGCTAGAAGAGAAGCGAAGAAGAGTAAGACAGGTCAGCATCTTCCTTACAAAATTTCAGATCAGAAAATAGATGATTTAAATGGTTTTGGTTATTTTGAATATAGATGGTATGTACTAATTGATTGAGTTAAATATGCTCTGATCGATTTTGGTTTTTGTGGTCAATTTATGGAAATAAACCACTTTTACTTTAATGAAAGTTTTAAATTTTCTTGAATTTTTGTCAAGAGTCAAAGTTTGAAAAGTAAATGTGACACCTCAGACTCGGATCCGGGTCGGATACGGGTTTGGGGTGTTACACTGGTACTCTCAACTGCCAGAGAACATTTTAAGGGTTTTATGGTCATGCCGGTACAGTTCATATGGAGGGTTGAAGGTTGATTCTTAATTAAGCTTCGTGTTTAACCTCCCAGAGATTCAGCCTATGTTTAGGATAGTTTTGTACCACCCTAAAGAAGGTTCCTACATACCGGAGATCCAAACCAGTAAACTAATTATGTTTCTTCCATAAAGCAACTCTTATTCCACAAACATACAATCCTTAGACTCATATATTATAGAAATCTCTGATGCTTGGCTTGATACAATACTAACTGAATAATTAAACCCTTTGATCCAGCTATTCATGTTTTACTTAATCTGAAAAAGATTCGGCATCTAAAGTTCAACAGGATTGAATCCTTAGAAAATATGAAGTGATTTCGTTGATTTCTAAAGTTCAACACCCTACCCTCTTCTTTTTAATAATTAAATGTTAACCACCAAACATGAAATCAAACTCAAAGCAAGAACCATTAGAAAAATTGCAAGAAGGGAAAGTTTACCGGTAGAAGCTGAGATGGTGAAGGTAGCTGGCTTGCCTCTAGCCACAGGATTAGGTGAAATTTCGATTCCACTGACTTTCACAACATAATTACCTTCCTTGTCTGCATTCATTTGGATCCAGGAATTGATCATGCATATATCAGAGAACGAGAAGCAAAGCAATTGAACAAATAAAAAGAAAACACTGTAGAGCAATTAAGAATCTATGGAATAACATATATAAGATCCCCAGTAGATACTCGAGGAAAAATGAAAGTACCCCAACAATAAGCTAATAGAAAGAAAGAAGAAAACTGACCGCAATATTTGAAATCGGTGGCCTGAAGAAAAGGCAAGAAAAGCAAAGAAATAGCTAAAAGGGTGAGCTTGAATTGAGGTGCTACAGTGTCCATGGCAGGATTACTTGCAAGAGGAGTGTTTGTGTTGGACTTAAAAAGATTGCAAATTTACTCGACAGAGAGAGAGAGAGAATAATTGATCTGTAAATATTATTTATTGACACTGCAAAATTATCAGTGTCTGGCCAAAACCCAGAATCTGGTGACCCATGTTCATTGAATAATAAATAAATAAATAAAACCAGTTACATGGGCTGATTCTGGATCTGGGTCTAGGCCTGCAGCTTCCTTTGATAAAATCACGAGAAAACTGAAAGGTATTACCATCGCCCAAAGCTCAAAGGTAAAGAAACTTCCACTTGATTTAGTCTGAATTGGGGAGGATTCTACTTGACCTAAACTCGAATCAATTTGTAAGGTCGAAAGCTTAATATGACCTATCTAAATTAAATATATATAATTTATTTTTACTAGATAAGATAAGAACTTATTAAAAATAACATAAAGATAAATATTATTATAATTATACCTAAATATATAAAAGATAATTATAATATTATATCAAGTCGAATCAAATTTTTCATCTTAAATCTTATTTGACCCACACCCTCTAAAAAGAATTGATACCCTAAATCTGAATTTAAGAAAAAAACTACCCCAATCAAATCAGATGAAAATTTATTTTAAAATACCTTATTAAATTGTAAAAATCGTACTTTTTTAATATTTATTACATAAATGTTGAAATTTATAGTATTTTAGTAAATAAATAAATTTTATATCTTCATTCTCAAATAACTGAATTGAATTTTATAAAGGATAATAAATTATTAGGTTTATATTTTTAACAAAGTGATAAGAAAAAGAAAGAAGGACGCTTTTCTTCTTACTAATTTATGTTATTTAAGCGTAAATTTGACTAAAATGATACAAAAAAAAAGTATATAGTAAAGTTGAACTTTTTTATTACAAGCTGAATGTAATAGACAAAATGTAATATAATAGGCAATATTTAAGTTTTCTTCAATTTTATTAGTAGTAGTAGTAGTTGAAATACTACTTAAATATTTCTAAGAATTAGAAATTTTTATTCATTAGGTTTATTATTATTATTTTATTTATAGTAAAATTAATTAAAATCATTAAAAATGAGATAAAATTGACAAAAACCTCACATTATCAAAGTAGTAAGTATAAGATTACCTAGAGAAGCGGTTGTATTCATATTATCCCTTATATTATCAGATATTGGTATTATATTAATAAAATATTTATATTTTCTAATTAAATATAAATATTTTATTTCTCTTGGAATTTAAATTGCTCTTGGAACAAGTTAATGAGAACCCAAGTTTTATTTCAAAAGAGCATCCAAAGGATTCTTATCCACAAAAGTCATTTTTTTTTCTGTTTGAAAAAGAAAAGTTATTTATTTTCTGAAGTTATTAACTAAGATGGAAAAATAAAGAAAAATACCCCTTTACCCTTATATAAAACAATATCATATTTTGATAATATATTTTAATAAAATATTCAATGCAATATATATATATTAAAATATTTAATTTGGTGTTTTTAATGAAAATGTTTAATATGGTACACGCACTCTGGTAAAATATTAAATGTAGTTCTTAGATTTGTTTTAGAAAAAATAGAATGAGGTGCCTGTACTTCTCAAAATGTATAGTATGATATTTAAATATTATTTTTAAAATTACCATAAATATGATATATGTCTTTTAGCATAATATTTTAACGATTGAAATAATTTAAATTTCTAAAATGATAATATTTATAACATTAAATGTTTTAATTAATTAAAGAAATTTAAACACTTATTAAAAATTTAATATAATTTTAATATTTATTTTTTATATTAAACCTTTAGGTAATATCGCCCAATCAACCGATAGATACACAAAATTGGATGATTGATGTGGTTGAAAATATTGACAAGCAATGTGATACATTGATTGCTGTTGCTGCAGCCATGCACAATCCCCCAAAAAATCATGGCCAATACTTCACTTTTACAAATGTAATAATTTTCGTTGTAATATTACTTGACTAATGTTTCGAGTTTAAAAAATTTTTTGAGTAAATTTTTAAAAATATTCGAATAATATTTTTGAAATAAAAAATATATATTTTTCATAGCAAATCATGTAAATAACATAACTACTCTAGTTATAATATGAAAAGTTAAATTTAAGAAATTCATGTAATATTTTCAGTTAACCAAAATTATTATCAGTTGTATAACTTTTTAGAGTAGACATGATAAATTTTAAGTTAAAACTCGACACAATATAATATTCTCAGTTGTAATCAAAATTATTATCACTTATGTAACTTTTTAGAGTTAAAAAAATAATATTTTAAGTTAAAACTTGTCACAAATTAACCTTAGGTCTCTCCGCCGCACAATAGAACTACTGTGATTTTGAATATAATTATAACAGCATCTTAATCCATAAATATTTTTTAAAATTTAGAAATATAAGTTAATGAATTTCAATTCAATTTAAAAAAAAATATTCGCTTTAAATTTTATACATTCGAATTTGTTAAAAAAAATCAAATAAAATTTAAATGATAAAGTATGACTCGTTACCTAGACTAACTTGAAATCGATTAAACTCGACTTCATTGAATACTCACATCTAATTCTTAGTACCCCTAATTTCTCCTTCATTTGAAGTCTATTCTTGATCAAATTTGAATCACATGTTCATCTACTACTTTAAAATATATATGTAACTTTAAATCTTATTTTTAATAATAAATTTACATTTTTTTTAGAATTTAGTCTCAAATTTTAATTTTTTTAATATGTTTTTTATTGTAATTTTTTTATAAATTTTTTCTCTCTATAAATTCTTTAACTACTTTATACTCTCATCAATAATTTATTCTCGAAATACATTCTTTAAAAAGTTATAATATATTTTATAATTTTGGATAATATTTAATTTATTGATTAACATTACGGTGTGAAAAAATATATATGTATGTCTTATATAGTTATATAAAGTCACTAAATTTGATCAATTCACATCATAATATTATAAATATTTACAATTAAATTTGAATATGAACTCAAAAGCTCAACTTAACTTGATTCGGTTCTAATTTTATAACTCCGTTTGGAATAATTCAAACATAATTTAAATCTTAAATATGACTCGTCAATTTAACTAGCTCTAAATTTTCGACACAAATCAATTCAATTCTAGCAAAATACTCACCCCTTTACAAAATCCCAAGTCCCATAACTTCTAGGAGATGACACTGTACAAACAATATGTTCACACTTAACAACAAACATCATTAAAAAAAATAAGCAAAACAAAACAAGAAAGTATCTTTGCTAGCGTTGGCCGTTAGGTAGTAACACAATTTTTTTAACCTCTAGATATTTAAACTATTGATCGATTAATTTAAATAAGTTATATAGTAAAAAACACAATTTAAATGAACAGTTAACAATTATTTAGCAAACTTCTAAAACTGATAAAACAACTGTTAACAGTTTTTGGCAGTTTAATTTCTACTTTTCAGTGAAGAGTTTTAACTGATTAAAGGACCACTCATCCTTTTCCACTTTAAATACCCACCGAAACCCTTTGTATTAATTTTGGAATCCTCGATAATAGAAAAGGCATGGAAATCAGATATTATGTATTTGACTGCTGCAGTAGCAGGGGGGTCATAGAAGCTGATAACTGAAGGGAACAAATGAAAGTGGTGTTTTCAGAAAGAAACACGAGTTGTTTTTGGGAATGGATCCTATGATCCGGAAACTCAGATTTCGTCTTCTTGCATGGCTTCACCGATCTCGCTCCGGTAACTTCTTTTCTTCATTTCTTTATTGCAAGAAAAACATCAACTTTGTCTGTTAACACTGTTATGCTTTTTAGATTAACTATGTTTTGTTTGCTGGGGAAAGTTATGGCCTTTTTAGGTTGGATTTTACCAAGGGTAAATGGGTTTTTTCTTTTGTAATTGTTCATGAATTTAATGGAGATTGGTGGAGTTTAGCTTGAACTTTCTGGTTTAAAGATGGGTTCTAGTGAATAAGTTCGTCTTTTTTGGTTTTGGAGGTTTTGAAAGACTATAAAAACTAAGAAGATTGGTTTTTTTTTTGAAAATTAGCACACCAAATTTCATCATTAGTCAACATTATGGGTGACAATTTGATGGTATTACCATCAAATTGTTGGAAATTTTGGATGGTAAAACTATGCAATTAGTCATTGTAATTTAGGTATTTACAAATTAGTCCTTAAAGCTTCAACTATAAATACCCTAGCTCATTTAGTTTCAAAACCATCCCAAAGCATTTTAGCTTTCTTCCAATACTAGAGAGAATTTAGAGAGTTTCTTGAGAGTTATTTTCTCCTTTTTATCAAGAGAGAATTATCATTGTTTTCTCCTTGGTAGATCGAGAGAGGTTGTAATTCCTATTTTTCTCATAGTGAAATTCTTCTACCGTTGCCCGTGGTTTTTACCCTATATTATTTAGGGGGTTTTCATGTAAATTTTGTGTCTCTTTTATCTTTATTTTTATTTTCTCAAATTATTAGTTGCAATTTTACTCTATCCGATAGTCGTCTTCCGCAACAATTGGTATCCGAGCTAGATTAGAGTGTGTAATATCTGCTTATTGTCTTTGTGGTTGCCACCAAAAGGTGGATCCTCCAACATAAGAAAGTAAGAAGTTATTACCCATTATTTGAAGGTTTCAGAGAACTATTCACGATAGTGAAATAGTGAGAGCTATCCGTAAACGAAGCAATGACAACGAAATTTGATATTAAAAAGTTCAATGGGAGAAATTTCTCATTGTGGAAATTGAAGATGAAGGTCATCATGAGAAAAGACGGTTGTCTAGCAGCTATCAGCGAAAGACCAGTAGATTTCACAGACGACAACAAATGGATCGAAATGGACGGAAATGTTATGGCAAACTTTCATCTAGCATTAGCAGATGAAGTATTGTCAAGTATCGAGGAGAAGAAGACAGCTAAGGAGATATGGGATCATCTCACCAAACTGTACGAGGCCACATCGATGTACAATAAAATTTTCCTTAAGAGAAAATTGTACACTCTCCGTATGCCAGAATCTACTTCAGTGACGGAGCACTTAAATACACTGAACACTTTATTTTCTCAGCTTACATCCTTAAGTTGTAAAATAGGAAAACAAGAACGTGCTGAACTTCTACTTCAAAGTCTATCGGATTCGTATGATCAACTCATCATCAACTTGACAAACAGTAATGTCACCAGTCTAGTCTTCGATGACGTTGCAGCTGCTGTTCTACAAGAAGAAAATCGACGCAAGAACAAGGAAGACAGACAAGTAAATCTGCAACAAGCAGAAGCGTTGACAACGATGACAACGATGAGATGAAGATCAACAGAACGTGGCCAAAGCAGTAGTCACAAACATGATAGATCGAAGTTGAGAAGCAAGAAGAATTTAAAGTATTACAACTGTGGAAATAAGGGTCACTTGAAGAAGGATTGTTGGAGTCTAAATAAAAATTCTAATCCACAAGGTAATACTGCAAACACTTCAGATGATGGAGATGCTCTATGCTGTGAAGCGTCAACCACCGTGGAAGGAATAAAACAATTTACAGATATATGGATCATTGATTCGGGAGCAACATATCACATGACCTCAAGAAGAGAATGGTTTCATCATTATGAACCTGTCTCAGGAGGATCTGTGTATAGTTGCAATGATCATGCCTTAGAGATCGTTGGCGTGGGAGCCATCAAATTGAAGATATATGATGGAACAATTAAAGTTGTTCGAGATGTGCAGCACATGAAAGGTCTGAAGAAAAATTTATTATCCTACGGATTGTTGGATAATAATGCTAGCAAGATTGAAACACGAAAAGGAATTATGAAGGTGTTCCGTGGAGCGCTTGTGGTGCTGAAATGTGAAAAGATGGCTACAAACTTGTACATGCTGAAGGGAGAGACATTGCTAGAAGCAGAAGCCTCTGTTGCCTCATATAGTTCAGATTCTGTAATGCTATGGCATAAGAAGCTTGGACACACGTCAGAACAAGGAATGAAAGTCCTTGTGGAGCAAAAGCTACTTTCAGGCTTAACAAATGTATCACTTACTTTGTGTGAGCATTGCATAACAAGTAAGCAGCACCGGTTGAAATTCAACACATCAAATTCTAGAGGCAAAGTGTTCTAGAATTGGTTCACTCTGACGTATGGCAAGCACTAGTAACATCCCTAGGTGGAGCAAAATACTTTGTCTCATTTATTGATGACTACTCCAGGAGATATTGGGTGCACCCTATTAAGAAGAAGTCATACGTATTTTCAACTTTCAAAAACTTCAAAGTGCGAGTGGAACTTGATTCTGGAAATAAGATCAAGTGTTTCAGAACAGATAATGGAGGAGAATAGACAAGCGAAGAATTTGATGACTTTTGCAGGAAATAAGGCATCAAAAGACAGTTCACAGTGGCGAACACTCCTCAACAAAATGGAGTGGCAGAGCGGATGAATAGAACTTTGTTAGAAAGAACAAAAGCAATGTTGAGGGATGCAGGCTTAGAAAAATCATTCTGGGCAGAAGCAGTCAATGCCACCTGTTATTTGGTGAATCGAGCTCCATCAACTGCAATAGAGCTGAAGACACCAATGGAGATGTGGACTGGAAAACCAGTTGATTATTCGAACCTCCATGTATTTGGAAGTATAGTGTACGTGATGTACAACTCCCAATAAATTTCAAAGTTGGATCCAAAATCCAGGAAATACAAATTCTTGGGGTATGCTAATGGAGTAAAGGGGTATCGCTTGTGGGATCCCACTGCCCGTAAAGTGATCATCAGTAGAGATGTTATCTTTGTAGAAGATAAACTACAAAGAAAAGAAGACGATGATAGCGCTGAAAAGTCAGAGACTACTCAGATACATGTGGAAAAAGAGTTTGAACAAAGAGATTCTTATGAAGCAGAACCAGCACATGATGAACAAGAACCAGAGAGTTCTGAAGATCCAACAACTCGTCAATCAGATCGTAGAGAAGACGTCCAAATTGACACTCAGATTATGTTATAGAAGGTAATATTGCATACTGTCTTTTAACAGAGGACGGTGAGACATCAACATACAAGAGGCGATAAACAACTCAGATGCTTCACTGTGGATGATGGCGATGCAAGAAGAAATTGAAGCCCTTCATAAAAATAATACATGGGACCTTGTGCCACTACCACAAGGAAGGAAGCCAATTGGTAACAAATGGGTCTTCAAAATCAAGCGAAATGGTGACGATCAAGTTGAAAGGTATCGTGCAAGACTGGTGGTCAAATGATATGCGCAAAAAGAAGGTATTGATTTCAATGAAATATTTTCTCCTGTGGTTCGACTAACAACAGTTCGAGTAGTTTTGGCAATGTGTGCTACATTGGACTTACATCTAGAGCAGCTAGATGTTAAAACATCTTTTCTTCATGGAAATCTTGAAGAAGAAATTTATATGCTCCAACCTAAAGGTTTTGAAGAAAAAGAAAAGAAGAACTTGGTTTGCAGGTTGAACAAATCTCTGTACGGTCTAAAACAGGCGCCGAGGTGTTGGTATAAGAGATTTGATTCTTTCATTATGTGCCTTGGATACAACAGACTTAATGCAGACCCTTGTGCTTATTTCAAGAGGTCTGGTGATAACGATTTTGTTATTTTGCTGTTTATGTTGATGACATGTTGGTTGTAGGACCCAACAAAGATCATATTGAAGAATTAAAGGCACAACTGACTAGGGAATTTGAAATGAAGGACTTGGGATCAGCAAACAAGATTCTAGGGATGCAAATTCACCGAGACAGAAGTAATATGAAGATTTGGCTTTCACAAAAGAATTACTTGAAGAAAATCTTGTCACGATTCACATGTTGTAAGCCAATTTCTACCCCTCTTCCTATTAACTTCAAATTATCCTCCAGTATGAGTCCTAGCAGTGAAGAAGAGAGATGGAGATGTCTCGAGTACCGTATGCATCAGCAGTGGGAAGTTTAATGTTCGCTATGATATGCACAAGACCAACATTACACAAGCAGTGGAGTGGTTAGTCGGTACATGGCGAATCCAGGAAAAGAGCATTGGAATACAGTAAAGAGGATCCTGAGATACATAAAGGGACCTCAATGTTGCATTATATTACGGAGGATCAAACTTACTAATCAATAGGTATGTAGATTTGACTATGCAGGGACTTGGATAAAAGCAAATCTACTACAGAATATGTGTTAAAGTTGCTGGTGGAGTGTAAGCTGGGTTTCAAAATTGCAGTCAGTTGTGGCTACATCCACAACAAAGCAGAATATGTAGCAGCTACACAAGCCAGTAAAGAACAATATGGTTGAAGATGCTATTGGAGGAGCTTGGGCACAATCAAGAGTATGTCTCTCTGTTTTGTGACAGTCAAAGCGCCTTGCATCTAGCAAGAATCCAGCATTTCATTCTAGGACAAAGCACATACGAGTTCAGTACCATTTCATTCGTGAAAAGGTGGAAGAAGGGACAGTAGATATGCAGAAGATCCATACCAAAGACAACATAGCAATTTTATGACGAAGGTATCAACGCTGATAATTTACCTGGTGTCGATCCTCCTGGCCTGTCAGAGACGTAAGCAACATGAAATGTACAAGGTAGAAAGAATGTGAAGATATGATTGTTCCAATCAAATCTTCAAGTGGGAGATTGTTGAAAATTAGCACACCAAATTGCATCATTAGTCAACATTATGGTGGCATTAATGGGGCGGCAAAATTGGTCAAATTTGCCACCAAATTGTTGAAAATTTTGGATGGTAAAACTATACATTAGTCATTGTAATTTAGGGTATTTACAATTAGTCCTTAAAGCTTCAACTATAAATACCCTAGCTCATTTAGCTTCAAAATCATCCCAAAGCATTCTAGTTTTTTCCAATACTAGAGAGAATTTAGAGAGTTTCTTGAGAGTTGTTTTCTCCTTTTTATCAAGAGAGAATTATCATTGTTTTCTCCTTGGTAGATCGAGAGAGGTTGTAATTCCTATTTTTCTACCGTTGCCCGTGGTTTTTACCCTATATTATTTAGGGGTTTTCCACGTAAATTTTGTGTCTCTTTTATCTTCATTTTTATTTTCTCAAATTATTAGTTACGATTTTACTCTATCCGATAGTCGTTTCCGCAACATTTTTAAAAGTTGGAAATCATGAAGAATTATCAGTTTCAACGGTGCTTGGATGATAAATCAATTAGGTTTCAATTTCCTGATTTAACATAACAATATAGTCATACTTATTGATTATATATGATTATATTTTGTCTGATTATTCTGCAATTAGATCAAGGAATTCCATAACAAGTAAGATAATGGTATCATTGTAAGTTGTACAACATCTGCTTGTCTACATGATTAGGCTTCCATTTTCCAGTTTCAAAGGGAGTAAGAGTGCTCTCAGTTGTACAAACAAGCTCCCTTTTCATTCTCATTTTCCTTTAGAGAGCAGCATCTCATTAGAGCAAGATTTCAGTTGTATTCCTTCATCACTTGTGAGGTCTCTTCAAGTTCTGCGGTTATATTGATCTCTGGTTTCTATGAAATTCGGAGCAAGAAGTTCTCCTACAAAGATGTAAAGAGGGCAACCGATGGCTTCCATAGGATAGTATACAGCAATTCCCATGGGGCTGCATATAAGGCCAGATTCGAAGGTGGTGAAGTTGCTTTGGTAAAAGAAGCAAGAGCTTTTGATGAAGGAAAAGAGAGCTTCTATCGAGAAGTGCAATTCTTGGGGCGACTGCATCATCGGCATCTTCTTGCACTCCGTGATTTTCCACAGGGAACAAGAGGTTGAAGTCTTAACTTTCATTTTCATACCCTCCTAGATTCATGTGTGTTTGTGTTGCTTTACAATAAAGACATTGTATATGCATAAAGATTCGCCATAGTTTTACTTCATCTTTGCAGGCTATTAGTGTTTGACGATATCGAAAATGGAAGCTTAAAGGAGCATTTTAACGGTAACTCTATAAAGCATGGTATATGCAGGAATGAAAACAACTTTCTTTTTGTTTTTTAAACATTGGCTCTTGACAGATCCTCTCAAGACTCCTTTGAACTGGAAAACAAGACTACAAATTGCAGTTGGTGTGGCAGCGGCATTGGTAAGTCACAAACTTTGCCGAGCTAAAACCCGAATTCATCTTCTCGGTTATCTTGCCCTGGAACATAAAGTATGCCCTGTATGGCAGGAATACTTGCTTCTATTCAGTAATCCACCGGTTTATCATGTCTCCATCAACTCAAGCAATATCATGCTCTACGAGAACTTTACGGCTATGGTCGGCTTTCATTCCCTTTTGATGTTAGCATTTGAACCTAAAATGCCACTATGAAAGTAACAATCATTCGTTCTTTATTGCAGCTAACCGATGTTGGCCTTCTTAGTTCCATTGGAACTTATGTTCAAATGCCTCATTCGTCGTGTTCAGAAGGTGAGTTGTGAGTTTAGCAAGAGTTGCTTTCCAGTCCGATGTTTGTTTATGGATCCGAATCCTTTCTATGCATGCAGAATGTATGGGACAAAAATGTGGGAACATAATCTTTCAGCTTGGAGTTCTGATATTGGAGCTAATAACAGGGCAGTCATCGGAGCTAATAACAGGGCAGTCATCGGAGCAAGGAGGCACTGATTTGATCCAATGGGTCCAAGGGTCGCGTCTCAGCAGTTCGATCGATATGATGATCGATCCGGACCTAGGGAACAATTATGATTCTAAAGAGCTTAAGAAGCTTCTAGTTGTACCAAGATTATGTTTAAAATCTAAGAATAACCCGGAATTTCCTGTCCCTCAGGTATTTCGATTTCTGCAGAAGAAGGTACAAATTCCTAGAGATTAAGTGTTAGTGATCTTGAGCTTTCTGATGTACGGAATTTCATATTTATTCATTCATGGAGTTTTGACAAGACTTGTACATCTCCTGAAACAATCTTGGTAGAGCGATGCACCAGATTGCAATAGCCAATAATGAAGAATTTGTTCTTTTTTTCATCATCATAGACCCGTAAAGTCTTGATGGAGAAAGTTCTTGCCATGTGAGAAAGATTTTGCAATTTTAAATTATTAAAAAATATTTTTTTAGTAAAAATTTATTTTCACATCCCAAAATTTTACAAATTCACATCTTTTTAAAATTGTAAAATATCGGCTCATAATATAATATCATGTGTAATGTGTTTGTCCCTGCTTAATTTGTTTGTTACGTGGACAACTTGGTACTTGAGAAAGCTTTTGCCATGTGCGATTAACACTCGCCCGAAGGGATCGATGTTTGGGTGGGATATTTATCTAAAGGAGCTACTGAGAGGGCGCTATCGAATAGTAGTATAAATGAGACAGATAAATTATAAGTTATTAGAGTTTGACTTAGTTAAAGTTTGAAATAAGTTAGAGTTTGACTTTCAACCGAGTTAAGTGTGAGAATAATTTGAATTCAAATTTTTTCGTGCTCGAGTTCAACTTTAATATTTCATTTCAAATTCGAGTCGAACTTAACAATCTTAAGATGCGAGCTCTCCAATTGAGTCGTGTTCAATTTTGAACTTTTAAAGTCGAGTCAAACTCAACGTACTCGAACTCAACTCGTTTACAACCCTAACACCAAAATATAAAATTTCCAAATCGGTTATTATTTTAAATGAATATTTATGTACGTATATGTCTATTACGATTAAGATACAATGTATTAAATATAATTTAATGATTAAAATTTCAATATTAACATTAATGTTTTTTTTAATAATTTTAGGATGATTATAAGATAATATTTTTCAACAATTGATAACGCACATATACATGTAGATATGAGAATAACATTCTTTTTTAACCACAAAAATATATCAAATATATATATTTTAAAAAAAATTGAAGTGTTCAAATATAATTTTAATATATGAAACACGAGAATCGGTCTCACAGTAATTAAATTGATTTCTTTTTTTTGTAATCCGTCTTAGGGCATGTCGGCCGAGCCTCGTGGTTTTTGGTTCTGAAGCTGATAAACAAAGAGTACACGATCGTTGACCGTGACAGCATGATTGAGAGAGGAAGCATGATGAATCGGCCTATAAACCTTAATTAAATCAAACGATGGTAATTTATCAGGAGGAAACGAGGAATGATCGAAGAAAAAAATAGCCTATAGAATCCAAGTATGGAGATGAGCTTCAAATTTTGTTGTTTCTTCTTCATCATCATCACTGTTGAGCACATTGCAACCTCTGCGGACCACCATGCATTTCCTCATCTTCATCATAAGCTTCCTGTGCTGCCTGCTGCTTTCTCTTCATCTCCTCTTCTATGTTCACATCATGCAGTGTGGTTTCCTCACACTCATCTACCTCCATATTCGTCAACTGCGATGTCGGTTTCGGCGGCAGGATACCCTCCAGTGCCTTGAGCTGATCAGTGTTCAGAGTATCAGGAAATTCAACTGTGAAGTGAATGTACATTTTGCCCTTCATGAATGGCTTCTGGTACAGAGGCATCCCCTCATCATTGATTGCCTTGAAGGAGCCTGGGATAAAAAAACAAAAGTTAATAACCATGAAATGGGAAACACGAAAGCCTTACTATATGAGAATTTATTTTTTAAATAAACTCAATTATTGAGTAATTCTCAACCACTAGAATAATAATAATAATAATAATAATATTTAACTTAATTACCAATTAGAATTTGAGTAAATATCTTGAAACCTTTCTCTTGACACAAATTATATTTGTACATTAATCTTTAAGTCTTCAACAATTTCAATTCTCACATAATATTTGTTGAAACACCGTTAGATCGATTGAGAATTACTCTCTCTACAAATAAGTATTTGTTGTACCAAATTTCCTCTCATATATCTCAAAAAGCACTAACAAAATTTGTCTTTCAAAACTTCATAACTCAAAATATAAATCTAATACAACTTGTTAGAAACGTGGAAGTGAAAATAAACAGCGTAAAATCAACATAAAAATAAAACACATTCGAGAGATAATATGTAACATGGTTTAATTTGATCTATCTTCATGAACGAGAGATAAATAAATAAAAACGTGTCGAAAAGTCTAACCCAACAATAAACCTCATAGCAAACCTTTTGATTTAAATTCAAATCTCAAAAAATTTCATTTCGATTTTAATAGAGTGAGTTGGCTAGTCCCTCCTTGCCAACTGACTCAATTTTAATGGCAGTTTAATTACGCAATAAGCATGCAAATAAGCTTAGGTAATATATCTTTATAATCAAGGATGTATCGAGAGGGCAGTTGAGATAATCGCTCTCTAAAATTTTCAAACTCTTATATAATTTAATTTTTTTTTATCTTTTACTAATAATTTACTTTCATCCTTAAAACTTTAGAAATTTATATTCTCATAAAATTTTATAAATTTATCGTTCTAACATAAAATTGTATGTCCGCCCCTATTTAATAGATTGATATTTAAGCCATTGTGTTATAAATGAACCTTTCACATTTATTCCTCATGCTGCATATTCTTTAAACTAACTTTTAATATAATTTTGGCGTAATGAAAAATAGGGGGAAAAAGAAAAGAAAAGAAAAGAGAATGACAAGAATAAGAGACTAAGCTTCACTTAGTAGAATCAGATTGGGCATTGGGAACTCATACGAAGCTACTGTAAGCATAGAGGCTCTCAACAACGAGTTCAAAGCAAATTTGGCAAATCAATAAACTACAAGTACGGTCAGGATGGATCCACGATCAATTGTTCTTTTAAAAAATTTAAATTAATATATATTTTTTTTGTATTTTTAATTGATCTATTTTAATCCTTTAAAGTTTTACAAATTCACCTCATAATATAGTATTTTACGTCTGTCCATGTTACAAACAAGATTGTGTTACTAACGTTGTCTTCTTTTGAATTAGATTCACTTTAATTTTTGTTATACTTGAGCCTAAGTGTAAATAATCTTTTAAATGGTTAGAAATGACAATGTCGCAAAAATAAAACATAGCTATTATCAAATAAGTCGAAAGGAATAAACTAAATTTATTTGTTATAGGTTAAACCATTGTCTTAAAACTGATTTTATGTGATCGAATTGATCATAAAATTAACACAAATTTAACAATCTACACTCGAATGTAAAAGATAAAACTCAAATAATAAGGAAGAAAATAATAAGAAACAATTTATTTTTTAGTGCATCAAACAATGAAAATAAATCTACAAGAAAAGATAGAGGTAAAATATATCGTCGAAACAATCCACTTATTCCGATATTGTTATTATTATCATTTTCTTTAAAATTCACTAATGAGTTCGAGTTCACTAAATAACTTTTAAATTTGACACATTTCATTATTATTATCATTATCATTATTATCATTTTCTTTAAGAAAACCTTACAATAAGGATCACAGTTTTATGCAAAATTGATAGGTTTCGATTCGATTCAACTTGATAGAATTAATTTTTAAAATTTCATATTTGAGTCGAATTTTATGTAAGATTAGGTAGAGTCAAGTTTAGGTGGATAGTGAAAAACCTTTTAGCCAACCCTATTAAGAGATAATAGAATAATTTTATATAAATTTATAGATAATTGCTAAATATCTCACCCTAAATTTTTTTAATTAGATTCTTAATTTATGTCAAATAAAGAATATATATATTTTAAGTCAAATAAAATTAAATAAAAATCTGACTCAACCCGATCGTACAAACACGAGAGAGTGTGAATCAATAAATAATCGATTATTTTGTGCTAAATACCAAAAATATAACACCGAAACCAACAAAAGAAAATGTAAGGCGATGTTCCCGGGAAATCCATCAATCTTAGCTGTATATACTGTTGCAGTGGTAGGTGGAACAAGAACGAAAACGGCCCCGTTTCCGTTATTAGTATTAGAACGCCGTTTCGTAACTATTACTTTCCTTCAGTTTCAATACCCCTTCAATAACCCACATCTAAAATGTGTCTTTTTCTTCAAGCCCACTAACGGCAACCACTCCAATTTCCTCCTTCAAATCAATGGCAATGGTGATGGATCACACAAAAAGCAAAAGAATCCCTCTCTTCTTCTTCAATTCAAAGGCGTAAAGCTTCAATCTTTTTACTTTTTTTCTTCAATGTTTTCCACTCCTTTCATTCTCTCCTTTTCTCTCCTGCTTTTCATCCCAATTCTTTTCTTCTTGTTAGGCCCGAGTTTGAATCCTCAGCCTCTGCCGCCCATTTCCACCACCGATGAACTCGACGATCTCCGTCTCTTTCACCGCGCCACCGCCTCTCCGTCCGCCTCATCCCACCTCTCCTCCTCTTCCTCCCCTAAAATCGCTTTCCTTTTCTTGACCAACACCGACCTCCATTTCCTTCCCCTTTGGAACCGTTTCTTTCGACACGCTAAACTTCTCTTTTCAACATCTACATCCACGCCGACCCCACCGTCAACGTGACCCGACCCCCTCCCGGCAACGTTTTCGGCGACCGCTTCATCCCAAACGCCAAACGCACTTTCCGGGCTTCGGCAACGCTTATCTCCGCCACCCGACGCCTCCTTGCAACCGCTATACTCGACGATCCTGCCAATGATTACTTCGCCGTCGTCTCGCAGTACTGCATCCCTCTCCATTCCTTCAATTACATCTACCGATCCCTCTTCACCTCCAAAAACTTCGATCGAACCTCCAAATCTGATCCCGACTCTTTCGGCTTTACTCAGTACGGTGTCTTGAGGCACAAATCTTACATCGAGATCATTTCCGAGGAACCCAGACTGTGGAAACGATACGCAGCGCGTGGGCGGTTCGTGATGATGCCGGAGGTGCCTTTCGAGGAGTTCCGGGCTGGATCTCAGTTCTTCGTGTTGACTCGGAAAGACGCGTTATTGGTACTAAAAGATAGGACGCTTTGGAGGAAATTTAAGTTGCCATGTTTCCGAGCCGATGAGTGTTACGCGGAGGAGCATTATTTTCCGACCCTGCTATCAATGCAAGATCCAAATGGGGTGACTGGCTATACTTTAACTCGGGTTAATTGGACTGGAACCGTAGAAGGGCACCCGCATATGTATAAGCCGAAAGAAGTAACCCCCGAGTTGATTCATGAGTTGAGGAAGTCGAATTATTCGAGTTCTTACTTGTTTGCACGGAAGTTCTCGCCTGATTGTTTGAGACCCTTGATGCATATTGCTGATTCCCTCATTTTCAGAGATTGAGATTCTTCCTGGTGAGTAAGCCTTCCTTTTTATTGCTTTCCTTTCTTGTTTGAGTTTGGGTATCGAAATCTTAAAGGTAGGTGTTTTTTTTCTTCTTATGGGAATCTGGAGAGTCTTGTAGTTGTAAGAGTGTGGCATGATCTGTAGGTGAATGGAAATTGATACCATTGGTTGAGGATTTTATGGTAGGGGTCGAACTTTTAAAATTTCAGGGGGAACGAAGTTATAGAATTGTAGGTGGCGAAACATTTTATTAATACAAAATACAAAGAAAATATCTAAATATACTAAATTGATATTTTCAGGGGTGAACAGCAGTCTCCCTCTATCCATCATTGTTTTGGGGATGCATTTAGTTCTGCCATTTCATTGTTTGCTCTTTTGCATATTGTTCATTGCTATTCTGTTATATTACTTTGCTAATCTAGGACTTACCATTTCGAGAAGCTTGCAATGCATTTGAATTTTCTGTACTCAGTCATTCATAACTGAAATTTGCTAAAAATTATGGGGCATTATCCTATATAATCAGCCAAATCCAAAGATCCCTTACCTTATATAATGGTGGTGAACTTTCTTTAAACATTGTATTGAATGAAGATGAATCTAATTATCTTGTCATTGTAGTCTCATTTGCCACTTCGTGCAAATATGTAATGACACTATCTTTATGTTTGCTATTCATGTACTTTTACTTGACTATATGGATTTTAAGCATATAGCCTTCCGAATGGATCTTAAATAACTTTAGCCAAATTTTAAGTTAGACTTAGAGTTTTGACCAATTTACTGAACCATTTTGGTATGATGAGTTCTTTTGGGACATGCATAATCAAGTTAGAAAGAAGTGAGTTTTAGTCTAATTTGAACTCACGGTTGTCTGGTTCTGTTTAGTACTGGTTTGAGAGTTAATGCTACCTTTGCAATATTGGGGTTTGTGTGCAGAACTGAACTTGGGTCGGAGAATACATTTTCTTTCTTATCTGCGTGGGTGGGAGAATTTGTTTGGTATTTTATGTATGGATGTCTATATAATGTGATTGTGCCAAAGAGATTGTTGTGTTTACTCGTGCTGATATTTCTCCTTGTCCTTGGAATATAGATTATTTGTTTTTAAACAAAGGCATAATGCCAAAAATTTCCCTAATATTTGACTAAATAGTTACTTTCGTCCTATTTTTTTTAGCATTTTGGCCCTCAACATTTCATTTTAGGCCAAAAAGGCTCCTTTATGGATGGAAATTGTTAGTCAACAAACTGTGAACACTCCAAAATAGGGGTTTTTGCCCTAAAATGAAACGTTGAGAGGCCAAAATACTCCAAAAAAGAATAGGTGTCAAAGTGACTATTTAAT